GGGATGCAGGGATGCTCGGGGCCGGTCCCCTCGTGTGCTCGTGGGGATGCAGGGATGCTCTGCTCGAGCATCCCGGCGGCAGGGGGTCTGCAGGGGTGCTCTCTGCGGGACGCCGCTTGCAGCCCAGGATCAGGGGGCCGTCTGTCTCTCTCCTTGCAGCGGGTGGGCTTTCTTATTATTAATAATAAAAGAAAAAGAGAGGCTGGTTGTAACTGCGGCGCTCGGAGCCAGCGCCTGACAACTCCCGTCTGCCCGGGGGGCACTCGGTGCTGCCTGCGCCTTGACGAGCTCCCCGGGGACACGAGCGGGGAGGAAGGGGTGGCCGGGCTCTGCATTTACCCCCCTGGCTGGGCAGCCCTGAGCCCTCGGGCTCTCGCAACCCCCCGAATTGCGCTGGGGGTGTCGAGGAGGGAGGGTTTTAGGTGGAGGCAGCCAAAGCCGCAGGAAGGTGGCGATAGCGGCGGGGTCCCTGGCACCGACGGCCCCCGGGCCATCTGCGATGCTCCGAGCCCGGCCCTGGTGCCCTGCACGGCTCCCTTGCAGCCCTGCGCTTGCATGAGCCGAGACACACGCGGGGGGTTTGGCCCCCTAGGACCTGCAGGGACCCGACAGCCACCCGTGCAGCGACTGGAGCTRAAGCTCCAAAACCTCCTTTTTGCAGCTGCTGCTATTCCAATATTTCCTTATTTTCTTGCTGTGGAAGGGGGCAGCRGGGTGGTCGAATCCCGTATGCTCGSTACCACTGTTTTAAGGCGCTACGGCGGGTTTAAGCCCAGCGTTGGGCCTGGGGACGGAGCCCAGCGTCTGGGATGCGCCTCCCCTCGCCCGAATCCAGAGYGCGGCGCCGCCGGAGTTCTCCGGGCGCCCGAACAAGCGGCTTGATTGCGATTGCACCTTAATTGGCCCCCGTCAGCACTTTGCAGCACGCGGCGCTGGCGCGCAGGCGCCGCCGGCCCCCCGCTTCTGCCCGGGCCCCCCGGAACTGGCGCTCGTCTCCCACCCGTTTTACCCCGTTTCTCTGCAGGAATTTGCGTTTTTTTTTGCATTCTTATAGCGGAGCTTTGCTGGCGACGGCAGGTTTTTTTTTGTGTGTGTGTGTGTGAAAAAGGAGTTTATTGCTAAAGTGACATGTCAGCAAATCTAAGAAACCTCTCTCCCATCTCAGAATCAGCTTAAAGTGGAAAAAAAAAAGTCATATGCATATTTTTTTTATATATATACATTCTGAGTGCAATTTCCATCCGAGATGAGACAGGCTCCTGATTGCTGCGCTGGAGAAGGGTTTCCCTTTATAGCTCTCCTGCTGGAACCTCTGCCTAGGGTTCATCAGCATCTATGGAGCTGCCTGGGCTTTATATGCAAAGCGAGGGTGCAGGGCAGCAGATGGATGGATGGATGTGGCAAAGTTGACTTTGCGGCTTGATTTTCCCCCAAAAAAGCAGTGTCAGGGAGATGGGGACGTGGCCCGGAGGTGGTGGCACCTGTGGGGACAGCGCAGCATAGGGAAGGACACATGGGTCAAGCAGGAGACAGGCACGTCCAGCTCCGCATGCCAATGAGGACGGAGCAAATAAGGAATAAAACCACCTTCCAACACGAGCAGCTGGTGAAATATCACAGGTTTTTTTTTTTTTCTGCTTTCTCTCTCTCCCGGAGATGGGAGATTTTGACCGACTCTGCGCCTGCAGCCCGCAACGGCTCTGACACCTGCGTCTGTTTTATCAGACACATGCAGAGCGCCGGACACGGTCCAAACATTCATTACTTTGGATTTCAGAGCCTGCTTTCGGGTTGGTTTTTTTGGTTGTCTGCTTGTTTTTTCGCAGCAGGGTCATTATTTTTCCGGCTCTCCGTTCTCCACTCAGCAGAATCAGGATGTTTCTCAGGCTTGTGCTTTTTCTGCATCCTTTTTACATCCTTTTTTTTTGCATTATAACCCTAATAAGAAGGGTGAGATGCAGCAGTGAGGAAAGCCAGATTCTCAAAGGTGTGAGAAGGACACAGAAGCGCATTAAGAAAGATCCAGATCTCCCAAATACTCCCCGCCTCTCAAAACTTGGTGCTCATCTCATTACATAAGAAGATGCAGAATGTTATTACCCAAAATTAGACCTTTTGGCACAATTTTTAAACAGAAATCGGTTCCTTTTCTATCTGGAAAATGTTTAGTTCAGAATCTCCTTGTTGGGACCAGTGCAGACTTGGTTTTGGTGGGGAAAATAATCCCCCCGCTCTCTCCATTTAAACTTTTATGGCTTTATGCGTTCGCTGAGGCACGTTGTCAAAATTCATAGGAAACATTTTGATTCAGCAGCGGAGAGAGTCGTGGTTGTAGCGCGCCTTGTGGGAAATAGCGCAATTTTGGGTTCATTCATTTTCGGAAGCGTAGGAATTCTGCACTTGTTGGCTTTTCCCCTTAGCTATAAAACCATTTCCTGCCTTTGCACCTTGGCAGCCTGTGTTTTAGGGGGATTTTAGGGGGATTTTGGGGTTTCTTTCCATGCAGCGGGGCTGGACACGCTCAGGTCTCAAGTGCAGCGATGGGCAGTCGCCCGGTGCCAACAAGACAGGGGCTTTGCACGGGGCCAAGGCAACTTTTGCTTCCCTCAAATCCATCACGGCATTGCTCCCATCATCCAGTAGGATGTGATGGAGAATCCGCCCGGATTGCGCTTTGCTGCGAGCTTGCACGAGCAAATGCTTTTGCATTGGAGCCTGTGCTCTTGTGCTAGTGGTTTTGGCAAGCTGGGTCTCTCTGGGGTGGGAATGGGTCTCTCTGGGGTGGGAATGGGTCTCTCTGGGKTGGGAATGGGTCTCTYTGGGGTGGGAATGGGTTGGAAGCAGAGGTTAGATGCTCTTCTGTCCCCATACTTGATGAACCCAATGCCGCGTGGCTCCCATCCTTTCCATGCGCGCCTATGGATACCCTGGAACTCCGGGTGACTTTCTCCTGGTCCTGCTTTGTGGCTGGCCCTCTCTGCGGGTGGGATAGGCCCACGGGGCCTCTCTCTCCAAGCCGCTGTAAAACCAGCTCCATCTCGAGCAAACGGTCCTGTCCYCGCTGCCGGGGGCGGTGAAGGATGCGCCCGAGTCACCGCCGGTGATGGAGCGGGCGGAAAAGGCGGCGCGAGACACAACTGCCCRCTCGTTTTTAATCGCCCGGGCCATTTGCTGCTGCGGAGCCTTAAGGAGCCGCTTCCTCCTCCTCTCCCTCGCCTTCATCCATCACTGCTGCCAGGCGCCTGGACCGCAGGGCCGGAGCGATTCCCAGGTGCGAATGCAGGCTGCGAGCATCCAGGAGCAGGGAAAAGCTTCGTTTTCCTAAGGATACGGAGCAAAAACAGAGCCCCTGCTCTATGTATTTGCCTTCCAGGCTGCGCTCTTGCATCCTCATCCTCATCTTCACCATCCTCCTCCTCGGCGCGCGTTTTTGCTGCGCTGTGAGCTGCTGTTGTGCCCACGAGGATGTTTCTTTCTGTGTTGCTCCTCTGTCAGCTTTAGTTCAAAGGCACCCCCCTGGTTCTTTATGTTACCTTTTTGCACAAAAACAAAAGAAAAGCGAAAAAAATCCAAAAAAAAACACAGTTTCCTGCAATTGCCAGCTCAGGGCTTGGTATAAAGATGTGGAAAAATTTGCTAGTAACTAGGCCAAGTAAACCCTTCAAAACGCTGATAATCAGCAGCGAGGCCCCGTGATGCCTTCGCTCCCTTGCGAACGCTCCGTGACAGCACATGCCAGGCAAAGAAAAGAGGGAAAATGAGGGAAAAATCCTGCATTTCCCAGGTCCAGATGGACGTGCCCCCGGGCAGGCACGGGTTTGGCAGGTCTCGCCAAGCCAAGTGCAGCAGCACGGTGCAGAGCTGGTGCAGAACCCCTTGAATGAGCGTTTTCTTCCCTCCAGTGAAGACTAGTGGATATTTATCCCTTAACCTGATTCCAGATGTGCTGCATCCTGCAGATGTGCCAGGCTGTGCCTTTCAAGCCTCTCCCGGTGACATCCTCCTGCTATCACAGCCTTGTATCTCCTCCTGGAGAGGGAGTGCTGGCCAAGGCGCAGCCAYGCAGGCAAAAACGTGTCAAAAAAGGGCTTTTTTTGCCAGTGCAAAGCTGAAAGAATAAGGTTGCAGAAGCTGCTGCCCCTCGGGGATGTCGCGCACCAGCGGGCTCGCCCGGCACCCGCTGCTCCTGGAGCAGGTGCGGAGCTGCGGGATGCGCAGGGCTGCGGGACGTGCAGGCGGCAGCTCCTGCCGTTCTGCTCTCCCACAAACCCGCCGTTTTCCCTGCCCGCTTGGAGTCCCACATCGCTCCCGTTCCGCCCCGTTAACCGGTCCCAAAGAGGAGCCCGGGAGCTGCCTCTTGGCTGGGCTGCAGTGGGGAGAAAGATAGGGGGCATTTTTATTTTATTTTATTTTATTTTATTTTATTTTATTTTATTTTATTTTATTTTATTTTATTTTATTTTATTTTATTTTATTTTATTTTATTTTANATTTTATTTTATTTTATTTTATTTTATTTTATTTTATTTTATTTTATTTTATTTTATTTTATTTTATTTTATTTTATTTTATTTTATTTTATTTTTTCTATCCTATTTTAATTTATTTTATTTTATTTTATTTTTTTCTATCCTATTTTAATTTATTTATTTTATTTTATTCTTTATTATTCTATATTATCTTACCTTATTCATCCTTTCAAGCATTGCAGCCAACCGCCAAGGGACTACGGGACAAACCGCCACCCTTTTAAAGCTGATTTTTGGCATCTCCGGCACCTCCCACCAAGGATTTTTGGCCAGTTTTGGCCCTCACCTTATCAGGAAACCTTGTTAACAGTCCCTCAGATGCAGAGAAAAGGCAAAAAACACAACAGCGAGGACAAAAAAAAAGCCAGGAACTCGCTTTTCCCAAAGTTCCCCATGCTGCAACAGGAAAAGCAACGGAGATAAAAGAAATAAAAGAGCGGGCGAGGGAGGGGGGCAGATGCATTTAGGAGCTCTCAAGCGAACAGCATGCAACTCTGGTTTTATTTTTCCTCCTTAGCCTTTGAAACCGAACAAGGGCCCGGAGCCGTCTCGGCAGATGGACAATGTTCGTGCCTTAACCACTTAACAGCCATTAGCCTAATTTCGCGCGCTGGAGCCAAATTAAATAATAAGTAAGAGGCTATGAAAAGCTGGTTTGGAGCCYGCGTTGCTGCCTTGCACTTGATAACCTTCTCGTAAACAGATGCTCCCTCTCTACCCTATTAACCTTGGCCGGGCGCTTGGGTAGGGGGGTCCTTGGTGGAAGGTGCTGCGGGTCCCCGCAGCCAGGGATCGGTTTTCCCCCGCTTTGCCCCGAAGCATGAGCAGGAGAGCTGTTTTCGTCCCCCAAAAAGAGGAGTTTTATTTATTAAAAAGCCATTTTCTTCCATTAGGAAGGGCTGCTGATGGGAAATAGGTGAGCAGCTCCTATTAGCGCATGACACGCTCATGAAGTGCCACATCCTCGGGGTCATCCCTGCTTCATGCCCATGATATTCCCAAGCCCACGGCCACCTCCTGAGCGGGTTGGCAAAGGTGGCAACAAGGATGGAGCTCGTTGGATGCAGCCTTTTGCTCGCAGGGCCTCTTCTCTCTACCTAGCTGCCTGTCTTGAGCAGTCTTCCAGGTACTTAATGTCTTGGAGCCATCTGCTCCTCTGTCAAATGCAGTTAAAATTGGCCGGAGGCTTCCCAAATTATTGGGGAAGGTTGCGAGATGGGAGGCACAGAGCATAAGCTCCCGCCGGTGGGAGCCCAGGCTAAAAATACCTCCGGGTACATTATTTGGAAGCAAGACAGCTGGGAAACCGGGGTTGGATGCAGCCCTTTCCAAAGGTGGGGCGTTTGGAGCGCGGTGCTTTTGGAAAGGGCTTTTGGAGTCTTCCCTTCCCAGTGCCCGGGAGGGCTCCACGGCGCGGATTGCCCCCGGGAAATGCCGGGAGGGTTTTGTTGGGGAGCCCGGGTGACAAGAAGCATGTGGAGAGGCTTCGTGCCGCGCCGCTGGCACGCGCGGAGCGGGCGGCTCCGTCTGCGCGCGCCACATGGTCCCGCTGTGCCCGCTCGCCCGTGGCATCGCCAAGCGCCAGGCAGGCGCCAGGAACGTGCCAGATCCCTGGTCAAGCAAATACATTCCTTTTGCTTTCCCCCCTCTTTTCTCTCCTGCTACTCTCCGCTTTAGCTCAGGAGGAGCGAAGGGGTTGGGAGAGGAGGGGGAAGGATGGGAAGTAGGAATAAAGCCCCCCTAATCCAACCCATTCCCAGTGCGGATCTGTGTTTCAGTAGGCCTCCTCTTCACTTAATGAGCTTAGATGTCCGACGGTGCTTCCGTGAATCTGTCGGGGAAAGGTGCATGGGAGCAGCTCTAAATGCTATATCTAAATATATATTCAATATTAAATCTCCGATGTCTCCAGCATTCTCAGTGAATCTTGGAGTGTTTTGTTTATTTGCTTCTCCCCCTTCTCTTTGGTGCTCCGGTTGCTCATCGCTGGCTGTCACTGCGCGGCTCTTCCGTAATTGTGTTTTGCATTCAACGGCGGAGTTTTCTTTGGGGGCTTTCTTTTTAATATATTGTTTATGAAAAAAAGAAAAAAAAAAAAAGAGCCTGATTTTGGAGAATGCTGTCGGTTTGCAGCAGAACGTTTCTGCAGTGAAGGGAAAGGACTCAGGAAAGTGAAGGAACGAGCAAGGAAGAGGGGGAAGAAAAGACTCTGGGCAGAGAAGAAACTTAGTATGTGGATGCAGGATGTGTTGACATGGATTTTTGCAGGAATACTGCGATTGGGAATGGCCTGGTCTGGGTGGATTGAAGAAGCTGGAAATGGAAACGCAGGGAGCCGTGGGCTCTGGGCTTGGTTGCTTTCCTGATCAGTAGTATATATATAAAAAAAGCGCATTAGGGAAAGAGAGTTTGAATTAAAGAGTGCCTGGAAGTCAGGACCATCTCTGTTTGTTTTGCTTCCCTTAGCAGAGCCCTTGTAAAGTTATTACGAAGCCTTAATGGATTGGAGATTTTTCTCCAGCAGATTTTAAGGGGTCAACGTGACCCCCCCCACGCACCCAGTCCGATTTAGGGCCCGTGGGCAAGGTAGATCATCAGGTGCACGAAATCCGTGTCCTGGAAGGGAAATTCCAGCAATATCCTTGCTGGAAGCTCGAGCTCTGGTGGCAGCGTGAGTGATGACGAGTTGATTGCGGGTTAATGAATATGTGCAATTACTCCAGGTGGACTGCAACAAGATGTATTTTAAGGAGAGCGAGCTTTCCCACTTTGGGGTATAAACTATCACTGCTAATGTTTGTAGAGGCCGGTAGGGTTTGGTATTGGGCTCATGTAGAAATGGGTCTCTCAGGCGAGATTTGTTTCTACGGCTCTGATAGGACTTTAAGACGCTTAGGGCCATTTGGTTGGCAGGAAGAGCAACAAGAAAACAAGCCCCCAGATTCCTTCAATATTAACCCCTTCCAAGCTGGAGATATAGCTCCCCAGGTAGTATCCTGTCTTGTATTTTTTTTTTTTCCTGAACTTTCTGGAAATCTGCAGTAGCAATCAAAGCAATTAGCTGTAATTGCAGAGAGACTACCTTGCAAAGGTGGGACGCAGAAATAGGCAGGTAATTATGRTGAGTTATAAATGGCTGGTTATTTACATCAGGAGTGATGCGCAGGGATTTAGTTATTGGAAGCGTGAACTAGTGGTTAGAGCAGAGGACAGGGGCTTGGGGTCAATGCACGTTTGGGTTCACCTCTATGTTGAACTTCTTCCTGCCTGAGACACGAGAATATGTATTTACCACCTCAGGAATACAAGCAAAGCATTAGGGTCTTTAAGAGCTGTCTGATGTCTTCAAGTATAATGGAAAGGCTTATTTAGTGAGGCATAGATGTGAAGAGTCATGGCCTTGACCACTGCTTGGTCAATGGTGAGCTGCTCTCTCCAGGCTGTGGTGTCCTGCAGATGGGTTGGACCCCAGAGATGCCCACCTTGCTGATGTACAGGGAGGAGAAAACTTGCCTTTTGGGTCTCGTGTCATCCTGAGCAATTGTTGTGGCAGAAATAGGTGCTTCTACTTCTCAGTTGGGCTAACCATACAGCARTTTAGTCCCGTGCTTCTCCAGAGTGAATTAGTTGCAAGGAGAACCTCGGGTTACCCCCGTCGCCACTGCAAAGTCCTTTGTAGMCATCATGCTCTGAAGTTGCTTTAACATTGGGGTTTTAAGTGCCGTGACACATGCAGGAGGCCGCCTTCCACATGGCGGTGACAAGTGTCCTGCGAGAGGAACCATTAAGGAGAGCAGCTTGGGATCGCGGTGCCAGCGGTCCCGCTTTGGGAGGCGAGCCACTTTGCTGGCCACGCCGGATTTCCTGGCCCTGCTCTCCYCTAGGGAGCTTTAAACCTTCCAGTGCCCTGTGGCTTGGTGGTACTTAGCAACAACAAGATTTCAATTATTTAAGGGGAGAGGAAGACAGGAAAGCCATTAAGACGGGACCATCACATGCACCAGCAGGAGATAGTGGCACTTTCCGTCCTCCCAGCTGAGCACGTTCCTTGCATTTCATTGACTTGTCATCCTAGCAGGTAGCTTTCTTTAATGCAAAGTCATTGCTGTCAGTGTCTGGTAGGTGTCGTYGGGATTTTTTCTAGACCTTTCCTGCATGTTTTTCTGTCATCTGTCCCAAACTGCCGTGTGGGTTTGCTAAATACCGGGAGTTTCACCCCGTATTCTGGTTTCCCTGGCAGGGAGAGCAGCTCATCAGCTTGTCCTGTTGGATCTGTCATGCCAAAAGGCAACGCCTAARTAGAAATTGGCTTTAATTGCAGCTTAAATGGAAAAAGAGAGCGTCGCTGTCAGAAGAGCCCAGCTTGGGGACCTCCCCTGTTGGCCTAGGCCACCCCAACTGGTGACCAGAGGCTCTTCTCCGGTTCCTGGGTTCTTTTCCCCACTCAGGGCAATACGTTTGATTTATTGCTGCTATAACTGAAAATAGTCTTGGCGCAGCAGGAGAATTAAAAACATGCGTGGCATGTATATGATACCAAATAACTAATCTTTCCTGACATTTACTGTCAATCATGGTAAAAGAGAAGATAACTAACTCTGCCTCTCATGTTCTGTGGTCTACAGTCTTCAGTCATGAAGATAAATGTCAGGCATCAGCTGTCCTT